GTAGTGTTATTTGGTAAAAGTTTTGTTGTCGCTAGAAACTCAACTTGCAGGCGAAAAGAATGGGGTCGGACAAGATCCGTACTATGGCCATTTCTGGCTCATTTGCTGGCTATATCAGCTTGATTATTCTCTGGAGTTTATATACCAGAAGCCGCATAGAGAACGCTGGGGTACCCACTGTGGAGCCGAACACTTCGCAGCTGTGCCGGGCAGCAGCAGAATATCGTCGAAACAGCTGTCTGGGCTTTTAGCTGGTACCTATATGGAGACTACAGTATAATACCTTGGCCATATATATCGGTGAGCACCCTCTGCCACTATATATATATATGGGCAGGAAAAACGATTTCGCGAACCATAAGTTTATTGCTCTGACGTTTCGGGGCAGAAAAGCTTCCGTTCTCGAAGAAGAGTGTGTAATCGCAATGATGGTCATGCCAAAAGGGGCTTACCTATGCACCCAGGGCGACAGGGAGAAAGGGGTGGAGAGGGAGTCCTTGAGCATTTAGCCCCCTTATGGGAGGGTAGTGTACTAACTTTGGTGGTCATCATCCGCATACACACGGAGACCGTGCCGGATCTTAAATGAGGTCTTAGGCTGGCGATTTTGCTTACGATACAATGATTGTCTTCGTTTTTATCGGTCGGAGTAGTGGATGGTACGTCGGTAGCGGCAACTGCGCCTTCGTCGGATCAGGGTTTCTATGCGGCGACGTGAGTGTCCGCCATGGACTTGTTCATGTTTGGATTTATGTTTGAACTAGCTTCACGTTTGCTTTTTTGTTCATTGAGCTGAATCCGGAGGGTGTGGTAGGCCGCAGAAAGCGCCACATAACGGCTGACGGAGGTTGTCCCCATGTGCCAGACCTCGACTGTTAGCCTAGCTACGCCCTCATTCCCACTACTAAAAATTTCGGCATTCCGGAAGGCAAACATATGTCCATAGTCGGTGCAGTGTTCCGTCATCAGTAATAACTGGGTTATCCTCTAGAATGTTTTCATGTGTTCTCCGGCAGGGGTCGGTAGTCGTTTGCCGGTCTCTCCAATGCTGCTGACTTCGCGGAAGTGACACTGAGCTCGATAGATGACGATTGTGGTTCTACCTCGTGGGAGGGGAGCCTTAAGCCCTATAACTAAGTGTCGATTTGTTGACTCCGGCTGGTGGACAATGCCAGTCCCACCCATTCCTTCCTGTCCCCCTGGCTGCATGGGTAAACCCGTTTTAACATGACTGTCGCCAACTATGAATACCAAGAAAGGCGATACCACACCCACTTGTGAGAACACAAGCTTGTATGTTTCGGAAACTCCAGAACGGTGAAACTAGGATGCCAGTAATCACATTTTCTTCTTATATCTGGGGACGCGCACCTTCGCTTATATTCTTATATTGTATTATATATACTTAAATACATGCATGCACAGGTATACGTACATATGCTAGGAAAACACTCACCAATCAGGTTATGGGATGTGATCGTTTCCTTGTCCAGTCTCAGTGCTGACTGATATCCTTACACTTATCTTTACCGCCTTCCTATTACTGCAGGAGGTAGAGTTCGCTGTAGGTCCAATCACTATCTCGGCCGAGCGGGCGAAGGCAATCCAGTTTATGGAGCATTTTCAAAGTGCCCATCTGGCAGTTTTTTACAGAACCCCCGCAGAAAGCTCCAACCTCGTTCGCATGGCAACACCCTTTCACTGGCAGACCTGGACTCTTATAATCGCCTCCATCTTCCTGACCTCAGGGCTGATTTGCTGTCTAAGCCGATGTAGCCCATTCAGCGCTTGGAATCTACGTCTGCTGGGCGCTGTCTCAGACGAAGTTAGTCTTTGGGACAATCTTTGGAACACATTTGAGGCCTTCGTGATGCAGGGTGAGGTGTTTTTGGAAAGTGACTTTATAAAAGCAAAAGCCTGTTTCGATGCTAATTTTCTAAATCCCCCTTCTGGCCACGCCTATTCGGCAGCGCAGGAATTCTACCCACTTGCTTATTCGTCGAGAATCCTCATGGCCAGCTGGTGGATGTACGTTGTCCTTCTACAGGCCGCCTACCAGGCAGAGCTTGTGGCTTTCTTGAGCAGCAGCGAAGTCATTCCGCCCTTCGAGACGCTTGAGGAGCTGGCTGACGACACAGCTATCGTCCCCCTCGTAGCTCGTGGCTCCTATGCTGCAAGTATAATGGAGGTACAGTTTGCTCTCATGAACATTTACGTTCTCATACTCATTAAAAGCCCTATTCGAATGAGCAGAAGTCAGTCTGAGGTGAACGTACAAATTAGATTACTTGTCATCGGCCCTGCTGCATTTATATATTATATGGTCTTACGTTTGCGGGGAAAACCCCCTGGGTCCCGTGGGGGACTTAACAGTCCGTTTGCCCTATCTGGCGAATTCTTGCGTGGTAGCGACATGTGTCAACCAGCCGCTTACTATTGCCATTTCAACAAGCGTGGCCTTCAAGGTTGCCTGCTGTGCTGTTAGACTCTGAAAATCCGCCAGCCACAGTCATGTAAACTGGGCGACCAACTCCAAAGTCAGCATGGATGTCGCTCTGGCTTGCCCACACAATTCCCCTCACCACCTCAACGGTAAGCTTTCTGCGCAGCTGAGTAAAATTTCCCTTGAGAAGAATGAAGTCCTCACAGGATCGAGGGAATTGTATTGCTGACGTTTTGAAGGGCTTGGCCGGCATTCTTACAAACACAACTCTGTCCTTTAAGAAGAAGAAGAAGACGCGATCACGGCGATCGTGTCTTCTTCTTCAAGAGTGCTTCCTGGGTTCTTCGAAACGTCAGCAGTACAATTACCTCGATCAGGTGAGCATTTCATTTATCTCAGATTATCTACACGGATCTCTTACGTTTGCTAACCTGAGCTCAAAATTGCCCTTCAGATGGCATTTTCACCTCCTACTCAGCAATAAGCCTAACCACCGTAGTGGCTATGGTTTGCCAGGACTTCAGCTACGGCGATTAGTTCAGACGTTTCCCCACTCTCTGCTTCAGAAGGCCGGTCCAGAAAGTACGTATGGCCGACTCTGGAAACGAACAATAACGGTCTCCGAGGCGGAAGGCATGGAGAAAATTCTCGCCTCTCCGGAGTTCGTCTACATTGACGATGAAGTCACCGCGGGCGTAATGGAGGAGG